GAACAAGCCCAGTTGAAGACAAATACCCATAAAGATATGATTGTTTGGAACTCAACCATATTACATTCAGTGATTTAAAAAACGCTAGACGCCAAAATGCGGCAAGGTGCAAAAATGCCTGAGGCACTAGACACTCGCCCGAGCGAAACGAGACGCTAAAATATAAAAATATATAAATTAATTAATAAATATAATTATTTAAATAAAAAATATGATATTAAATTAAAAAAATCTTATTGAATCACAATATCACATTAACAAAAAATCTCAAAATTCAAAACAATAACAATAATTTCAAATAAATAAAAATTAACAGTATTAAAATCAAAATAATATATTATTAATCTAATAAATAAAAAAAATATTGTTACTAGTATACAATTAACAATATATTATCGAGTCGATATGAGTAGAGGGAGTAAGAGTAATAGTAGCAGCAATGGCAGCGGGAGCGGGAGCGGGAGCGACGATAGTGGCAAGCAACGACAGTAGCGATAGTGGCAGCGGCAGCTATAGCGGAAGCAGTGAGCAGCGGTATAAGAGTAAGACTGAGGCTGCTGACTGAGAGAAGCAGTAACAGTAGCAGGAGCGGGAGCGGGAGAGGCGATAGTGACAACGGCAACAGCGACGGCGAACAACGACAACAACGACAAGCAGTGACAGTGGCAGTGGTAGTGGAGAGCAATGATAACGAAGACAGGTAATGATAGCGGAGAGAGGCAGTGGCAGTAGAGAGGAAATGTCAGCGATAGAATCGCGAGCAGGATTAGGGTTGGGGAAGTCGCGAGAGGGATGTTGGGAGGCTGATATTGATGCTTTAGTTGGTTCAATCGAACCAACTGAAGCACCGGAGACCGAACCAAACGTAAAACATCGGTTCGGTCGCCCAAAGCACCCGGCGCCTGGGCTCGGGCGAGCGCCTAGGCGGCGCCTCTTTGAAGCGAGGCGCTCAGACCTCGCCTCGCCTTACCCAAGAGCTTAGGCAAGCGCCCGAACGCCTATTGAAATCGCTGATTGCACTTAGCTCTAAGCAAGCAATGTTAAATGAAACTTTTCAAGTAATAAGTTATTGAACTAGAAATAATGCAGCTCAATACCCAAAAACAGAGCACAAAAAAAAACAGAAAGTGACCTAATTTCTCATATTCAAGCATATATGGCAATCAAAATCCAGAAAGAAGGCATCGATCAAGAAACTAAATATGAGTGGTAGCAAAGGCAGCGGCTATTGCATAATCAAGGGCATAGTAAAAGTGGAGGTTAAGAATAAGAAAAGAAAGGGAAGTGTAGCAAGAAGGGCAAGATAAGAAATAAGCCATATGCAGCTACCTTGAGCAAAGTGCACAATGTGGACACCATATGGTGCTCGGATACATGCTAGAGTGTTTTGTAGTATGTAATGATACCATTTTTAACCTGCAACTCCACCTGGTGTCCAGCACTTGCTAAGCACCGTTATTGGTGTCTCATTTATTGCTCTTTTGTAAATCTTTCCATTTTATCTCATTCTGGATTTAATTCTCAGGCAAATAATGAAGCTTCCTATTGTGAAAAATAGTAAGCTTCCCTCCAATGTCATTTCATGGATGTTATGCTAACTCAACCAGCAGAGGGGACCATACATCCATTATGCATGTTTATGTGCCAAACAGGGAATGTGAAATCATAAATGAGGCACAAAAATTATCGATAGAATTATGATTAAACAAGTTTGTAAGGAAGTAGCCCTGGTAAATTTTCACGATTTACATGCATAAGAAGCAAACTAGTATAAGCTAAGGACTTTTTTGCTTGTAAGGAAGCGACCCACGATAGGTATGGTTCCTAAGAAATTGACTACTTCAGTTTTTTATAGATGAAAATGTTGCTAACTGTGAATATGTAAGTTTTAAGAAAGGAACTGACTGCTTTTAATTTCCAGAAGGGAGCACCAGAGTTGACTTCTGCAAAATGTAGGCACACCCACACACCATACACTTTTGATAACCAAACAGACCCTTGATAAATATGTATGTATAATATAACTAGTGTCAGCTGAAGAAAAGGTTTGAAATACTTGAGCACTTTGTAATGACCCTATTAAGCAACTAAGAAGAAGAAATTAGCACAAAATTGGAAAAGATAACAAACTAATTTCGAATGGGCTAGGTTAATTACTACTAGCAATTTTGTTGTCTATCATTTTATTACTAGAGTTTGTGAGTCCTCTAGAAAATTAAAGTAGTTTCTTCAGCAATTCATAAAGAACTTTTCTGCTTAAACAAACATTAAAAATGAGAAAAATCAAAAATATTTTTGCAATGGTAGTAACCATAGTAGAAGTATACCTCTAATTGTTCAAAAGAACGATAGGCATTGGTTGCCAGCTTCGTCTTAACAGTCCCAAAATCCATTGGATGCTCAATTACATCATAGTAATCAGGAAGCTGAAACAAGATAGGCAATATAGTAAGGTTCAAGAAAGCCCCATGACTTCACTATAGTGCTATGTTTTCCATATATCAAGTATAAATGAACCTCTTCAGGATCCACCGGCTCCGCAAACACTCCGTAGATGTCCTTCCTGACACACCAAAATGGATGAACTCATTGTTAACACAACACATGTTTCAGCAATTACAACAGGAAACAAGACTGTTATTCATATAGAAACTGAAGCAAATTACTTCTGAATCTTATGAAGAACGGCCTCCAGTAGTTTCTTCTCAGGCAGAGGCGTTTCCACAGCATGTGAACCAGCTGAGACACCTGAAAAAGAAAAGCTTACACCATCTACTCCGAGGATAATACTTTCTTCGAAACTTAGCAATGAAGGACCATGTGGATTCTAACCTGAAACAGATCCCTTCAATCTCTGAAGATGATTTTTCTTCTCCGTCTGCAAGGATAAAGAGCGTCGGATAAAGAAATCTACGAAGTGGTAACAGGTCCAGTTTCTCATAAATAAGCGTCAAATAATTGGAAGGAAATCGAAGTAGATGGGAAAAAGCAGCGGTTCGTGGGGAACAACTTGAACAATACATTATACCTCTCGATGACCAGATCCACCAGAACGAAAGCCATCGTCGCATCCCTCGAAGCGCCGCTTCTTCAGCGGCTTGATTGGTTCCTCCTTCACCTTCTCATCCCCTTCGGCGTCGTCATCATCGTCGTCCACATATGAAGAGGACGAAGCCGACGAAGAAGAGGACGACGCGCGACCCACCGGCGCAGGCCTCCGGGGCTTCTCCTCCTCCTCCTCCCCTATGGCAGCGATTGGGCCTGGAGGAGGCAACCTGAGGATGACCTTTAGCTTCCTCCTCTTGCCCCTTCCCTCCTGTTCCTCCACCTCCTCCTCCTCGTCTTCATCCAGGTAGTCGTCGAAGTCGGCGAAGCCGTCGAGGAGGGGGCGGCGCCGCCGCTGACGAAGAGTCCTGCGGGGAGCCGAGGCCAGCCGCGGAGACGAAGGAGGAGACTGGAGGAGACGGCCGCCCTCCTGCTTCTTCCGCGGCCGGCCCCTCTTCTTCGGCGCCGCCGCCGCCATCATCGCTCGCTTTTTTTTCTTGGTTTTTTTTCCTTTTTTTTTTCCGGTTGTTTCCCCTCTTTCCTTTTCTAAGACTACCGCTGGTATACTCACCGACCGATATCTGCTTCTACGCGGCCATTATTTTCCCAACGCTTACCCTCTTTGTCTCTTGAGACGGAGCTCCCAAGTGGGAGCCACCTTGAGTCGTAGTTGAAAGACAGGTAGCTGAGGCGTGTAGGTCCGACTCTGTAATCATACTTGCAATTATGAGTGTAACTCATGCTGACATTGTCCTCATGTTTTTACCTCCCGTTGATTTCTTTTAGAAAATTACACTATTCGATGGGTAGATGTTTTTTTTCTCTCCTTAGAGAGAATTTTGAAGTATATAGAGAAAGAGAGAGACAGAGAGAGAGAGAGGTAAACGATGCAATTAATGGTGTTGCCATAAGGAATAGATATGGAGTCGGGCTGCTGCTTCCTGCTGTTGGTGAGCTTAGCGAGGAGAACTGACTTTGGAATTCGTCTTGAATGAGGTGATTTTAACATAATAAAAATGTGGTCCCTACTTGAAATAGAAAACATTATTTTGCTTGCAACAATTCAGATTTCATAGGACATACGTATACATTTCTGGCACTTGATTCTACACATTATTCAACATAAACTCCAAAATGATTCAGTGTGTTCGCTTAATTCTACTTGAAATCAGTGTGTTTGCTTATACATGATGAACGTAACGTCACACCTTACAAGTCTATGCAAGGTTATATGTTTCATGTAAGTTGGCAAACTAACTGCTCGTATTTGAAGGTGTTGTTGTCAAATAAGCAAGCTCGGACGACCAGAGGATAACATCAATAACAGTAGAAGAAGTGCAATAAAAAAATGAACCGGAGAAGAAGGTGTCAATGTTCGGAGATTACCCCCTCCCGACCAAACATATTAATTATGTACTAATGAATTGGGCCACATGCATTAATTATGTACTAATTCTTGCCACCAACACTTACGTACTCTTTCATCTCATTTATGAAGCTAAGTTTCCTCTTATGGGGAATTCAATACGTGGCCTGGCCAGGATTTTGACCTGACATTCTATTTATTAGTCTTCAATCTTCGAGATTGAACACTCGTAGAGATGTATCATCTTCTCACATCAGACGCTGCACAACTTAGCATTTCACCCATCAATATTAGTTGGACCAAAAGTTATGTCTACGATTGACGAAAAATCGACGAGGACTTTAAATGCATGAAATGAGAACTTTCCATGTAAAAGGAAGTCCAAGAAGAATAAAAATGTAACTTCGACGTAAAATCTCGTGAGTGCTACCGACAATATGTGAATACAAAAGGGCAACAATGGAACAGATTTCTTACTTGAGAACTCTGAACATGCATTTGAGGAGTGTTTGTGAAATTTGTGGCACAGCACCTTTCTCCGTACGTTTTGCTCGGAGAAGAATTATCTCAGAATGTTTGCACTAGGATCTGAAAACACTAAAAGCCATGTGATTGCAAGTTCTTGTTAACTTCTATGGCTAAATTGATCTTGATAATTCAGATTTTTATACATTTTTCATAAAGAATTCCCAAGAAGACTAGTGCCAGTCAACCACATACAATTTCGAAGCAACCTATGCATGTCCAATAACTTTTCTTTTCACGTCTGGATTGAGAAAAATTTTAGACCTGGAACAAAAACCGCAGGTCCTCTTCTGTTAATTTTGTGATGGCCTCCGAACAGTGTCCGATCGTCCTATAAGACATGATCAGAATGCAGATATCAGCTTAAATAGCAAACATGATCTACAAAAGCAGCTCTTGATCACCAAAAAATAAAAAAGACTAACCCTTGAAACACAAGTTCCTTCTTCTCTTGCAGCTTCAGTATGCGTTCCTCGATTGTGTCCTCGATCACAAATCGGACAATTCTGACGACCAAAAGCAAAGGAAGCATTATAGACAAATGGAGAACTTTGAGCTTATTATCAAAATAACAGTCTCCACGGAGTACCTGATAGGCTTATATTGGCCAATTCTGTGAATTCGATCTTGAGCTTGGCATTCAACAGCTGGATTCCACCAAGGGTCCATCAAGAAAACCTACAAAACCATGCTCTAGATAAATATACCGTCACCATGAAATGTGGAATTACATCATACATGTACAAAATTATTTGTTGCGGGTAGGATTGTTGCTTGTACTGGAATATTACAGCATTAGCATGGATGCATTGATATTAGAAGAGAAAGAATTCAAATTTTGATTTTCAAAGATTGAATTTTAATATTTCCAATCAAAGAGTGATAAAAAAACATTGTGGGGCTTAACGAGAAAGCTTTTCTGATTATCTGTGATGTATCATTGGCAATATATTATTTTTTTAGTTTAAATCTTCACAGTCTGAAGACTCTAAACCATAAAGACAGCAAACAAGAATATTGCTTACATGTGATGCAACCGTCAGATTGAGGGCTACACCTCCAGCTTTCAAGCTCATCAAGAATATCTTGCAATCTCCATCTTCGCTGAAAGCCTTAATTGCTTTATCCCTCTCAACAAGACTCATGTTTCCAACTAATTGAACACATTTGATACCAGCCTGCAAACACTGTTCGGTCAAGCACAGCAATCATAATTCAAGAATAGAACCGTTTGATTAGCCAGCTCACCTTCTGGAGGGAGAAACATATCAAATCTAAAAATGATGTAAACTGACTAAACACAATTCCTTTTGCAGAACCATCACATTCAACCATGTCTCTTATCTCTTCCTTCTACGGAAACAGAAGATCCATGTATTAGCCCAAAATATGTAAAAAAGTAAAACTGTAAAGATTGACAAGTATTCAGCAAGCATCAACAAAAGATCAAACTCCCATAGCATAACTGTTGCACCCTGTTAGTCAACAAATTATACTCCTCAACTATCTCTATAGGTTGCTTCCTCCGAACTTTTAAGACATTCTCATGTAAAAATAATACAGTTATTTAGAACAAGATGTGAATCACAGACTAGCAAATATAGCACAGTGAGTTTCATACCAATGCATCAATTTTTGTACTCGTACGGAAGGCTTCAATATCATGAAGCCTGTTCAATATGCCTGATTTATGGCCCTTGACAGCTGTTGCTGTGATCCGTCCCCCAAGGTTTTTTGTTGTTAAATCTACAGTAAGAGGCCTTGAACATGATGGACATGTTACATTCTCCAAGGATGCAGAGTAGTCAATCAAACAAGCCTTACAAAAGACATGCTCACAAGAAGTAACCTAAAAGGGGAAAAATGGTATTTAAAAGTTGTGAACAGTAATTAAACAACATAATCCAACGGAATTAATTATTTCCGTTGTGCTAAATATTTATGTAAAAGAAATAAACAATATATTACCACCATATCCTCTGGAGGGTCATGACAAATTCCACACTCTTGTTTCTCAGTATCATCCTTGCTTGCATTAGCTACTTCTGCAGTCTTAGAATATAGTACAAGATATGGATGGTCAACTGCCTGGCATCATAACAAAACAATTAATCCAGCTGAGGCTCGCAAAGATGCAAGACAAATAGAAGATGATTATATTAGTAAACTCCAATACGACGAGCACATAGAGAAATTATCCATTAAGACAGTGACAGTATGCTAACCTAAGCAGTATCACATCTAATTCTGTTGCAGAGAATTTATCTAAAAGATCTTCATGTCCTGGGCTATAAATAATCACCAACATTGATTGTCCAAATTTCACATTGATAATAACAACCATTGAATATTACTATGATAAACAAATTCTTGAATATATATGTGTATAGTGTGTATATATTTTTAAACTGTTGAGTGAGCTACTAGGTTTCTAGGCCAAGGAAGTAAAAAAAATATTATTGGTCTGGAATGGTGGAACCTAGGTACTCCTCCAATGCCTTTTATGACTTTTAAAAGCAAATCATGCAACGCCACCACACTCCACATGTATATAGGTCATCTTGATCAAATGATCTACTGAAAAATAATCAAATAAAAGGAAAAGCAAAATTCAGTATATTGAAAATTCAAAAAAGTAACTGCTCAATAATCTGCTTTTATTTACCATCCCTCAAAACAGACTCTGTGATAGATAAAGCTTTCACAATGCTATTTGATAAGATACCAATACCTACTTCATATTATGAATTAGTTGGAAAATAATGATTCCAGAACAACATGACAATGTGGAGAAACAAAAATATTTTGTGTCATCTAATGTTATCTAAAAATCTGTGCTCTATACCTGTCGCAACCGTGTAAGCAGATCAAAGATGTGGGCATAATTATTCATCAATGTTCCAGCTGCAGCATATCTGGAAAAAAATTATAGCCCTTAAAATAATCAAAACAAAAGATATGCTGAAATATGAATGCATAATATGAAAATAAATCATGAACTCAAAAGTATTAGCATCAATGTATCCTTAAATACAAGGCAATTTTGTTAAGCCAACCCAGAAAACTTGATAGTTATCTGAGTGAGACACCTAGCGATCTGGGAATCTTCCTTAACCCTCAAAGTATGAAGGATGGGAAGGACCAGCCAATTGATAGTGTTTAGAAGTCACTCAGACTGATAAGGCCATATAGACAATAAAACAACCAGAGGAGGAAGAAGACCAACATGAGATAACAAAAGAAAAAGGCCTTATAAAAGGGCTTACAATGTAAGACCTCTTTCATATAATCATATAAATCACCATAGAGTAACTAGGACATTAACGCTTGTTAAAACCAGCAAGATAATTTCTTTTTAATTTGGCATAGGCTATTTTACTCATTGTAAGACCGTAATACATTCAAAATGAGGAATCCAATGAAGGCATCAAATGCTAGTTGAATTAATAGGAGCCGACCAGTATTTACCTGTCCAAACAGGGACCAGTACTAGAACATATCATTCGATATGATCAGTATGTATTTATAATTATTATTTTCTCAGTGATACTGGATCATAAAGGTTAATGTACTGCCCACTATATACCAAGACTGTATTAATATAAGTTTCCGTGTGTTAGATCGAGATTCTAAACCCTGATCAAGTTGAAAGTTGGTAATATCACGAGAAGATAAAAGGTATAGATAACAATGTGTTGACATGAAGAACACAAAAGGTATAATTTTTAGATATTTTATATTCATTATTCAACTAAACAAGAAAGATTGATGAAGATATTGATCATAGATACAAAGCAAGAATATTAAAATGGAGAAGGCTATTGTGAGTGCCACGTTGTTATCGCACGTCCTTATAGTAGAAGGTAAATGTTACAAGACAACTATAAGGCCAACAATATCTTTTGGCTTATGAAGTTAGAAAAAAATAACTGATCACAACAAAGAATTCTGGTGCTCAATCAATATTTGCACTAGACCTAATTAAAACACTATGTTAATTGTACCCAGAACCTATAGGAAAAAGGCAACTAATCACAATTTATGGTTAATGCCCTCTACTTCATCCCACATCAGAAGTGCCCCTCATATGCAATAATATATTTAGCAAAATGGTTCAACACATTTTTTCCTAGAAAAAAGTAACACCAATATTCATATACTAGAACTGAAAGCACAGAGTCGCCTTTTATCATAATTGAAGCCTGAAATAGATTTTCCTAAGAGGGAAACTTTCTAAAAAAATGCTGGCATAGATTCGTAGGTAAGAAAATAAACTAAACCTTATAATTTATAGTTTTATACAACAAAGTCTGTTGTACTAGTAGTAATTTGTAAACATCAATATCACTATGCTTCATTGGTCAATTATCTAAGAATAAGCTAGCTGTATATTATAATCAAATCATGTTGTATAAGCAAATAAATCAGCACCAATACCACCCACTTCAGTTTATCTACTATTACGAACATGTCATATGTTTTAGAGTACAGCATTTGTTCAATTTATTGCTGAGAATACTGAAGATGAAACAAGTAAATAGATATCCCAAATAAACAAACTACAAAAATAAGCATCTACTGCAAAAAGGTTATACTGAAAAGAAAAGAAGACAGAAACAACAGAAGTAGAAGTAACCCACGCATCAAATTGCACACGGCTTTGGGTATATAATGCTTCATAGAACTCCTCTTCATTTCTATCCAGAGAATCCCGCCTCAAATAAACCTACAATAAAATGTGCATTTAGATACATGCAAATCACATAAATAAACCCTTTCATTCAACCATGCACATTCATGGCATATAAATAACCTCATCAGTATGAAATATGCATATATGACATTCATATACAAATCATTCCAAACACTCCACTATGTGATCATCATGAATATTTTTCCATAAGTGACATGAGAAATATTGGATCTATTATTTCCTGGTAAATGGGTAAAAAGGTTGCAATGACACTTACAATTCTCGGTGGAAGAGCAAGATCTGCAGCTCTGCCTTCTTTGGTACGCCTCAACACTATGGTTTTCAGAATTCTTTCCTTTAGCAAGATCATGGCTCTTCTGCCATCATTATATATTGATGTTTTTTGTATTGGACTTGCGATAAACTGAAATGCAATAATAGTGATCAGAAAAGTAGATGTTTCTTCTAACAAAAATTATGAATATTGAAAGGAAGTATCAAACAAATGCTGTTTAATAACACTCACTTTATTCCACCAGCAAAAGTGCCTTACTTTAGCATGAGGACAACTGGTGCAAATTTTCCCAGAACTGCAACATCAGTAAATGCAAAACATGCTCAACAGGTTGGTTGCAACAGGCAACTCTTTCAATAGTTTCGGAGTACCAATCAGAACAACTACATAGAAAGATTGGATATCCAAGGAATAAACAAAATAAAAAAGGAGTAAAATTCAGCTGCTATGGCTTTCAACTGAGTAGGTTTTAAGCCCCACTCTAACTTACTGGGCTTGTAGGTTCATCAAGTCAAATCATTACTATGGTCACAGTACAGAACATGAACTCTATGGAATCAGATGCTCGCAGACTAGCACAAGATAATGTTGCATACAAAGTTGTATTGGCACATCATCTACACCACAGACCACCAATGTCAATATCATGCCAGCACAGCATGGGAAAGCTGAGTCACCATATTCTTCTTAACTATAACCTTCTCGTGCCAGCACAGTATGACCCTTTCCCACCTCTTAACTATCACAGAAAACCCTAGATTCCTCTCCATTATCCACAGATAATGGGGGGGGATTGTAGTACTAAGAAAGAGACTCTTCAAAGGGCTAATCATCAACTGACTCTTCGAAGGGCTAATCATCAACTTAGAAGAGAGGAATAGGGTGATTATGTTACATTACAAATTATATTTGCATAATATAGGCAAGTGCACTAAAAAGTGAGTGCATTAAACCAAATCTTATCATTCAGATTATTGTGTATACAACAACACAAATATTTGTGGCAGGTTGGCAGATATGAATTTAATCTCCATTTTAACCACAGTTCTTACTCTGAATCAAGGTTTTTAATTTTGTACCATACCGAGTCTTGCTTGGTATGGTACGGTACCAGCCTATCGAGCGGTATGCTAAGATTCTAATGATAATGCCTTCAGCAGAACTGTCGTGCAAGTGTGAGGAATCAACAACAAAGAAGGTAGGTAAGCCATTCTACATCTGATATTAGCATATTTTTCTTGGACATAATTTGAACTCTTACAAAGGCACCCTGACAAGTAATATTTGTATAACTATCATATTTACTTTATGTCTGCAAACATTGACAGCCGAGTGGCATCAAGACAAACCCCATCCCTCCCCCTCGCTTTCTTCTTTCCTCCCTCTCTCTCTCTCTGTTCACCTTTCGCGTCGACGCTCGCCGCTAGCTCACCCTCCTCCGCCACCATCGCGTCCCTCCTGGCGAGCTCCGCCGCCCTCCCACGCATCCGTCAAACCTCGAGACGTACAACCCCATCTCTCCCCCTCGCTTTCTCCTTTCCTCTCTCTCTCTACCTCTCTTGCTCCTCCCATCACCTTCCGCGTCGACGCCCGCCGCTTGGTCGCCCTCCTCTGCTACCACCGCATCCCTCCCGACAAGCTTCGTTGCCCTCCCACGCATCAGTCAGGCCTCGAGACGCACGACCCCATTCCTCTCTCTCTCTCTCTCTCTCTCTTCATCTCTCATCACCTTCTGTGT